GTGTAACATTTAAGAGGATCTATAGTCAGAAATAGAATATATGTTATACAGGGAATTGCAATCTGCAACTACAATGCTAGATGCCACTAAATCTAATAATAATGATTATAAATAATACTAATTCTAATAATTTAAAGGCATTAAAAAAAGTTTTTTGTTCTACTGAGCTAATTCTTTCCTAAAAAACAACAATAAGGTATGTGTCTTAATACATTTACATTTGTGGACAAAGGATTTTCCTAAAATAAAGTATTCAAACAGAAAGTTTTCTCTTTATGATCCAAAATATAATATAATTTCTTGTAAAATGGGAGAGAAAAGCTTTTGGATCCTAGCCAATCGTACACATACATATCACACTAGAAAGTATTCCTATAAGGACAGAAGGAAAAGAGCGATTGAGTTTATAGTTGCAAAGATGTTGAAATGATGCATCCCGAGTTCATCCTAAATTGTATCCAATGCACACTCGGACTAATCGCATCTTGAACCTTTATGCCTGTGCACCAATGAGAATCTCTGAATCTTACCATCCCTCGTAGAATGGAAAAAAAGTTACATTTGCAGTGTATCTAATGGCAGCAAGTTCCTAAATGTGTTCATTTATTAATTGAAAATGACGACTTCCTATCTAGTAACAAAGATAGGGAGGACAAATTAACAGGAACACAGGTAAATATTCACATATTCGTTAAAACTGTATTTCTTATCTGGTAACACTAATGGTCTTCACATACTGTACATCTGTCATCTCCTCTGTATATCCGTCTCTGGGCTGAGTACTACTTGAGTTGCCTGGCGAGTTAGAGCTAGAGACCAGGGACTCTGACCCCTGTGGCGCTCTGCCTTTTGGGCCTCGTGAGGTTCACTCCATCCCTGGGGTGGGGGGGCAGGTGAGGGGCGACTTTGATCTACGAGAGCCGAGATTGCCACAGCCCCTCTGATTCTGGGAGATAATATTCGGCAGCATGAAGGCCGACAGCCGTAATACCACCTGACAAACTGAATTAGATTATCAGTGAACCAAACACTGCATCAGACTAAGCAGTGGGAGTCCATGTTGCTGAGATTTGCTTGTCACTCGTCTTGCTCCTAAACAGGTATTAAGGGTGACACGCCAGCTTAATATAAAGCAGGTCACAGAAAGCAGTGGTGTTCAACACTACAAAGGCCTTTGAAGACTGTATATAGGGGTCAATATTATTATACTGAGTCAATATTATTCAAATGAAGCTGTCATGTATTTGGTATTCCCCAATGAATATTTGTTCACATCATATTTATTTGCAACATGAGGAGGCTTGCATATGGAAAACAATTTAGAATTCCATTTCATGACATTTCACAATATGGGATAAACTGATTGGACAAAAGAAAGCAGCATAATATTTAGAAAAGTTGGGCTGTAAATAGACTGAGTGAGTGAGAAACTCTGATCCTTCATTGATTTCATCATCCCATTTGCATCAGTCCTGAGTGGGCGCTGCAGATGAACTGAAAGGTGACTTGAAAAGACGTTTTAAGCCTCAAGCCAGTTGAGTTGTTCATAAGGGGATACAACTCAATACTGGGAAGGTGTACACTCGCGGTGTGGTAAAGTCTTCACATTATCCGTGAAACATAATCAGAAGGATTGCAGCCTGGGTACTCTCTGAATTTCAAAGGCAATTCTCAGATTGATCCACTCAGCTGCAATCACTGCTCAGGCTCTTTAGGGATAAGAGGACCAGCCTGAAAGAATATGACTGAAAAAATACATGAAATCCTGTCTGTAGGAAATTTCATTGCCCTCAGAGAGAAAAAGAACAGCTCTGCTCTGAACCCTCACCTGGTGCTTTTAAAGAGATCTGAACCTTAAAAAGAGATACTACGTTATAGGGTTGAAAGACCAAAAGAGGTTTAACCCTTAAACTATTACTTGTCAAGTGATCCTTATATGAGTACCATATACGAGTTCCGGTAAAGAATTATCAAACCTTACCAAACTGCAACTAAAACGTTTCTCAGCAAGTTTCATTTTGAAAGTCTATCCAGTCTTAAGTCTATTTATTATTGTTGTATTACTATTACTTGACCACCAAAGCATGTAGAGGATACAGTGTCAGTATCACATTTTGCTGATACACATTAACATAAATCCAACATATTAATAGATAAATTGTCACATCAAATCATTGTATACAAATAAATGTAACAAATAATTTATATGTTTTAAAAAGACACCTCTTGTCAATGTGCGGTGCATTCAGCATTCTTCTATTGTCTCTTTTGTTTGACTGTGTTGCTCTTGCTGGCCTCCTGTTCTACCTGGTTGCTACAGATTGATTTGCTGTTGGAGGGCTGGAAGGTGATGCATGGCTGCCCTCTGTGGATGAAAGAGGCATTTGCTGTCAATGCCTTTAAAGTCGAGCATCTGTCATTCCTAAGGACTGCTCTGGATTAGCTTGAAGAATGATGAACCCCACACAGCGCTGATAGATCCTGGTTCTGAACTCATGTATTAGCCGCTCTTCTTCTAAACCTACTCCTACTTCACTGCTCAGATATATTTCTGTATAAATTGTCTTCATTTTTATTAATTCCACTCCAATCCATGCCTGTCAGCTTTAATGTTTAACATTTCTGCATTAAAATGTCTAAAAACTCCAGAACTATGTTCTATATGTAGTTAAGTTGTGTACTTACATTATCCTAAATGTTTCCAACAATGTTTAAACTCAGAGAAATCTGTCATTTTATTTAGGTAATGCTGTATTTCACCGGTCGCCTGTCAATGTTCAGTTTCAAGCCACATTTTTACCATCCACTGTTTAGATCTGGGTGGTTTTTAACTTTAGATTGAATGATCTTTAGTTATCAGAGAAACAAGGGAGAAGCTGACTGCAATGATGGCACTGGCGGTGGAACCCCTAGCGGCAAAAATTACATATTGTACGTTTAAATACAGCAGCAGTGAGTACAATTTACTTGGTAGGGGAGGTGACAAGAACACTTTCATGGTGTGTTTGAGTGGAAATTAAGACTTCTCCAAATAGCTCACTATCTCAGGAGAACTGCTTGGTGTAGTTTAAAATATTGAGAAAGTTTCCCAGCCTCTGACATGGGCAGGAAGCCTCTTGCAAACACTGACTTATATAAAGTACAAAAGCTGCAGCCTCTAGTGTTTGTTCCTACGGCATCAGCCTGAAGACTATTTTAGTAACTACCTCCCCTCTTCCTCTCAGTCTTTTCACCACAGCTTTTCGGATGTGTGAATCCCCAAAAAGGCCATAGTCGGCCTCAGCAATCAGAAGTAATGTATCTCTAACATCCATCCAGTTGGTCGGCTCTGACAATCAGAACGAGTGTGCCAGGGGTCAATCCCAGCTCAGTACGCTCAGTCGAACATGGTAGTGTGTCAGGAAAAAAAAGTGATTTATGGTCCACTTTCTGATTTGCAACTATTAGATTATTAAGATCAAACGGCAAAATTTAAAATCCTAAATTCGATAATATATAAAAAAGTTCAGGCACATGTAAGACATTATATAAATCATTTCAGCTGTTACTGCCATTAGGTTTGGATGAGTGTGTGTTAAGAGCCAACGTCAAACAGTCAAAATTTTGATTCATAAAAAACAAATATTCCACTATGGAGATCACTATGAAGTTTACTGAGCACATTCATGCTACTGTCATATTCTAGCTTGGGTTCTCCTCTATCATTCCCAATCATTCATTTCATGTGGTCGCCACTGTGAGGGTGAGATTTTTGGTTGAGAGTAAAATGTCTTGATACATGGAGTGGCACGGAATTTGGTACACACACTAATGTTCCCCACAGGATGTATTTTATTCACTTTTGTGATCACCTGACTTATCTAGCACCATCATCAGGCCATGGAACATGGAAAATATAATACTTGCTAAATATGAGCATGTTAGCATTGTGCCTGTGAGCATGTTAACATGCTGACATTAGCATTTAAGTACAGCCTCACAGAGAAGCTAGTCCTAAACTCTCAAATATCAGTAACGGTCTGGCTCTATGACCATCTGTGTGTTGTATCTACCACTCTTGCATTGTTGGGTGTTGCCTGTAAGTGCTGCTAGGCGGGCTTTATTTAGTCATGTTAAACTACGATCTGCAACAGAAGGCTTCCTCCCCAGGTATATCCTTATACAGTTTGTCCTGTTTTGTTGTGTTGCAGTTGGGCACAGATTGTCTGCTTGCCTCTCTGTGTTTCTGGCAAGTCTTACCTGCACTGTGCTGTCTCTCTGCCATAGGTTCTCTCACGGGCCCAGCCCGCGAATCACAGCCTCCACGTCTCTCACTCCTACACCAACGGAAACAGACGACCTGGAGAAAACAGGATGACAGCACACCTTTAGTTCTGTCACACTAAAAGTCACAGTCGGGCATACTTTCACAAGCACTCTGCAGAAACAAATACTAGGGATGCCGATATTCACTAAAAAATTTAAGTATCCGCGCGAATTATCGGTTTATCGGGTTTTTATTAACCGATGTTTTGTTCTGTAGGCTTCAGCTAATTTCCAAGGCCTGCATGAACGCCAGCATGGACGTTTACCGGCGCGCCGCTAGGATGACGTATAACAACAACAACTACGGCTAGACTGGTTGGTTGCCTAACCGGGCTGGCTAACAAGCAAACACTTTTAAAGCTGAATGATTATTGAATTATGAACATTAACACAAAATAAGGTGCCAATGCACCTTAAATATTTGACCCTGCTATGAGCTGGTTTTTCTTAACCAAACTAACAATTGGCTTAGAATTACATCAGCACTCCTTCAGGTGCATAAACAATTAAAACACATCAACCAAAAGCTAGCCCTTAGCTAGCACTTAGCCGCCTAGTACGATTAGCCGTTTTAGCCGCCTCTTTTCAGTATTTCAATACAAAAATGAAAGTGAAGTTCGGTCTCTTATTTTGCACAGACAGTGTTTACATTTTGGAAGGCCATGTTGCATTTATGTATGAATTCCAATGGCGTTTTAGGGTGGCATCTTCGTAGGGCATTTGTCCTCCTTTTGAGAAAATAACTAAAAAGGTCCACCTTTTGACACATTATCTCTCGTTAGTTTAATACTTATTGGCTAACAATGTGTGTCAAAATAAAGTAATTTCATTGGTTACATTTTCCTGTCACTGACCTATTCAAACACATGGCTAATTTTAATATTTCAAAATGGAGCCCATGTGTTGAATGGCCATGCAATCACGGCAGTTGTTACCACCAGGCTGTCAATCAAGCTCTCAGCCAGAGAAAGTAACGTGAGCTAACATCGGTTGTTGGGGACTGAAATTCTGAAAAATGCTCATACTCATATGTATAGGGCAAAGCCTAGGCAAATGCCGTATACATCTGAAAATCAGAGTGCTGTGTATTTTTTACCCTTTATCCTTATCCAGATAAAAAACATTAAACCAGTTCTGTATGATGTTTATTTAGACCTATGAATTCTGAATTGGAAGGGCACGATGTCATAGTTGTATCTTGAATAAAAAAAATTTATTATATTAGCTCATGTGGTACGTTAGCAGCTTTATGTAATCTGGTGGAAAAAACATTAACATTTAAAAAACCAGATCATACCGAAACAAATATCTGCTTGCGATGTCCCGTGTTATGCAAAGTGTCCTCCTTTTTTGATGTGAAGGAAATGGCCACCCTACCAGTGAGGCATCACAATAAAAATTAGGCATAATGTGTTTAATTCCACAATAGGAAATTGTTATGTTGTTACCTAACAGTTTTGGTGTAAAAAGCCTGCATATATCGGTATCGGGTAATATCGGTATCGGAAATTGAGAGTTGGACAATATCGGAATATCGGATATCGGCAGAAAAGCCAATATCGGACATCCCTAACAAATACAGCACCTAAAGAACAGTACCATTGTGTTCACATGGTTTAGCTCAGTGTTTCTCAATTGGGGGTATGCATGCAAAATATCAGTCATGCATTTTTCCTAAAACAATAATAATAAGTTCAATAAAAAAAGTTAAATGTACGTTCAATAAACATTTCGTATTCAATATTCCCATTTTTCAATGCAATCCTCAAATGCTGTAAACTAAAGATGTGGTTTGCATTACAATTGAAATTTAGCATTTAAGTGTTTTACAATTACAAAGTTGTGCGGCATTGTACCTCTTGATAAAGGATTTATTAGCGACAAAAATGTTTTGTGCTGGTCAGAGGGTACTAAAAATATTTCAAAGGTCGTACATTAATCCAAAAGGTAACTAACTAGTAACTATTCCTGTCAGATAAATGTGTTGTAGAAGTACAAAGAAGCAGAAATTGGAAACACTCAAGTATCTCAAGTACCTCAAAATTGCACTTGGATACTGTACTTGAGAAAATAGAGATTTTTTAAAAACTCATTTCTTTCCTCCTCCGACTGTTGATTTGGACGTCCAGATTCAGAATCAGAATCCTGAATTCTCAGAGTATGACAAACATTTGTGTATCCCTGTTATAGCGTGCTTCCAATGTGACAGTTTTGAACATGACAATGCCTCTTAACTCTTGTTACTGAAACAAAAACAAAATGTATTCCATTATTGGATTTTAATTTACATCTATTGCTGAGAAAAGAGGCACAGTAAACAAAAAAGCATAATAGAGCAACACTTTCATGCTGCCAATATCATAACATCATTTGGCTAAGGAGAATAGCAACTTGCTATTTTCCATAGCTTTTATTAGTTTGAGCACTAACTGCTGAAATATGAGGCTGTGAAGTGGTTGTCGTGGCAGGAGCCCATCTGCACTCAATTAATGGCAATTGAATGATAAACAATGATCCAGTTCCTTGCTGCGTGTGCCCACTTTAATTTAGAGTTGAACACTGCACATTGGTTTGTGGAGTACTGCTTTGAAGTCTCAAGTTTGTCATTGCCATGACAGTTAAATGGAGCCAGCGGAAGTGACGTACTGCCAGTTGAGCTGCTCTAATTGGCTGCACAGTTCCACGATCCACACTCATCCGTAGCAGGAAACAATAGCAGCTCGCCTGGTCACACACAGTCTTGTATTACAGCTAATCAGTACACTAAAATATGTTTCTGAAAAGATTTTAGGAGAGAAATAGTCAACGCAGTAACAGAATCTGGATTCGTATTTAATCAGCACTGCCTAGTTGGACAGTTTTCTCTGAGTTTGGTGCGTAGCCCCGCCCTAAAGCATGTTCTGCTTCGTTGTCTATTTTTCTCTAAATTGGACCATCATTTACTAAATGAACATTATGCTGTATGGAAGACTGAAACTATATTAAGACCATAAAGTCATTAAGAAACTGTTTACTGAGCTAATAAATCAAGTTATGTCCATTAGACTGCATGGTAGCAGTTCTTATTGCAGTCCATGGAGCTGCCCCTGCTGGCTTTTACTTAGAATGCAAGTTTAAGACACTTCCGCATTGGCTTTACTTCACAGACCTGGAAGCTCTGTCCATATATACCAGGGGTGTCAAACTCATTTTGGTTAGTGGGCCCGGACCAGTAAAATTAAGGCATAATTAACTAATAAATAGCAACAACCCTAATTGTTCTCTTGTTTTATTGGCAAAGAAATAGAA